TTTAATGCTTACTCATACAAAGTCTGAACTAACTCCAATATGTTTTGAAATGCATTGAAACATAAGTAAATAACGATTATATATAGAGACTTAGCAAAGGTTAGTCTAGTACGAGGTTCTACGGGAGTACTGTTGGAAGGTAGTAGATTTACTTACTAATTCTCTTTATAATATGAATTTGGATTAATACTAAAATTGCAATTTAAGTTTAAATTTACTCTGACGCTAAACCTTGTTTATTAATAGCACTGTTTGGGATATGTGAACAACTACCATCTAGTGAATACAAATGAAACCTCTCGAACGTCTTTTTAAAGCTTTCAAAGGCACAGACCGTTGCTTCGGAACGAATAATGCGTGGTGAATTTTTCGCGGCCCAAGTCTTTGCGAAGTTCGTACAGACACAAGACAGATGTCGCACTAAGCATATATTTTTAACTTAATTCATTATTATCTTTAATAATAATAAGTGTCGTATTCATTTTATTCGCATAAAATCAATGATATATCAAAGTTATCATACTTAGTAAGTAATTTCGGTATAATTATAATAAAAAATATTAAAACAAAAATTTTTTGACTGTCTGATAATATTAACATACTTATGCAACATTACTTATGAGCAACACTATCACTACATAGTATAAAACAAAGTCGCTTTCTCTTTCCCTGTGTATGCTTAAATCTAACTACGCAACGGATTTTGTTGCGGTTTTTTTTTTCATAGATAGGTGATTCAAAAGGAAGATTTTTATGTATAATACAAGACCACGTAGGCGAAGCCGCTGGTGGAAAGCTAGTTAAAATAAGAGATTCCTTTTGACACTGCAAAAATAAGATAGAACGTATCGTTGTACGTAATCGACGTAATGGGACATCAATTATTACGAAACGAGTTGATAAAAAAGGTAGCATATTATAAAAATAAATGCGTTGATTTGTAGCACAAAACATTATTTACGTATTAAAATTAAAAACAAAACGTAAACTTTTTATTTACTACGTAAGGTTCCAAACACAGTTACGTTCTCGATCCTTTCTTTCTTAAAAAGAGTGTCGTGTCCAAGTTAATCGTCTATTTCTTCTATATTATTCGTTTTAGTTCAAATCGACAAGTTAATTCTATGAAAATTAGGTAGGTACTCTTATACCTGTCACGTCATATCAAATTTAAGTACAAGTTATTTACCGTACACTGTAAAAATACTTATTTAATATACAGATAAAATAAAAATATAATTAACATAATTATATTTTTACTTATCTACGAATAAAAAAAAACAACTGTAGTCATTGTTTGTCCTATATGAAGAAGAAAAATTTCATTATAAATCAAATAAAATAAGAAAGAGCACGATGGAGGTTTTACCTTAAACTCGATGATATTAAAATAAAAATGCTACAAATTTGATTTAATACAAAAATCAATACGATCATAAGTTGGAATGATTTTGTCGGAATGAAAATGCACTTTCAGCACCATGATCGTGTTAGTTTCAGAAAAAAATGCAAAAGTTGTATGCATTATTTCGACTGTTAAAAAGTTTGACATTTGATTATTTTTCTTTGTGTTGTTGAACTGAATCAATGAATCTTCTTGGGCATACCAAGGTCTCAGTATTTACTTAGCGCCTAAACTTATCAATAAGGCAAATACTATAACATTTTCAACTATTTGCTTCAATGGATAGAGACTTAATAAAATTGGCATTAATAAAATTTCAAAATGGAAAAGCGATTTTTATTGATCAAAAAAAAAAACAAATCGATATCTCATTTTATTATCGAAAGCAAAAAAATATTGGTAATTTGTTATAAAATTTGTTTTTTTGCCGTCGCTATTTACGATCCGATGACATGTGTCAAAAGGGACCTCTTATTTTGTGATGACTTCAAGAATCGTATTTTTTTCGACAGCACTGACCGTGGACTATAGTAATTTAAATGACATTTAGGCCTCTTGTTGCTGCATAACTTCTAATATTAATCTTATAATATTGGCAAATAGATACAAGGCAAGTAATAGGGTCTCTTGAGCTGCCCACACGTTGGCCGAGCGTAAGCAAGCGCCTTTAATTTGTGAGCAAATACCGACACCGGTCCGAAGGGAGACAAGTGATCACAATGGACGGCAAGCGAAGACGAGTTACAACAAATAAGCTCTCTAAACGTTGGCTCTAGCCTTCATGACACCGAGAGATGGCAAGGCAAAGCAAATAGACTGTCTAGACGTCCGCGTTGGCCATCGCTTGGCAACGATCGCTCAACATATTAGCCGACTTAATATACAGGAAAATCACGCGACAAGATCTCAAACGTCCAGTTGTAAATCAAATTCCATATTTTTGTAACTCTAGCAACTTTTTGAGGACAACCGAAATAAATTGTTCGCAAAACTCTGTGAATATCGCGCGTGAACATTTTAATAAATCAGTAATATTAATTACAGTCAGCCAGTTGCTATATTATTTTTTATGTAGGTTAAATCACTCACTGAAGTTCACTTTTATGGTCACAACGCAAAGTGTCAAGATGGAGATCAGTGGAGATCGCCGCTATTGTCATTTCAAAATTGCAAACAATCATGATAGAAAATATGAATTTTGAAATTGCTTACTCTTTCGGTGTTAACAACTTTATCTTTCATTTATTTCATTTTCATTTTACATGAAGAAATTATTTTATCCATTTAACATTGATAGAATTGTGCGAAACGCGCAAATAAGCCATTAATAAAAGAAGAAGAAGACTTTAGATTGTTGGTTGAATTAGCGAATGCCGCTGCAGGATATCGAACGCGAAAATGAATATGAGTGGCCAGGCTTGTGAATGTTATCATTTCCATGATTTGATAACGATAACTATTATTAATGAAATTTCACCCTCGTAAATGAAATTAAATTTATAAAGCCATTTACACATGTATTTGTGTTTCATTAGGCAACATTCATTTGTTTTTTTTTTCTTCTGTTTGTCCTATTTACGTCACCCAGTATAAAAAATTGGGTTATCTTGACTTGAAGTATCGTGTTATTTACGAGTACGAGTTCTACTGTGGTGCCAGTGCTGCGGAAATGGCTCGAAGGGTTAATTATGTGTATGGTGATAATATGTATGTATGTGTCGCAAGAGAAAACACACTGAGCTTTTGGTTCTAACGTTTTCGTTCTGAAAATTTTGATCTGCAGAACAAGCCCCGTGGACGGCCGGAAACCCAAGTTTATAATGAAGAATTAAAGGCTATTGTGGAAGCGGATCCATTGCAAACCACGTCCGAGTTAGCTGCAGGCTGCGGTGTTTGTGATGAAACTGTTTTAATCCACTTGAAGCAATTTGGAAAGATTAAAAAGCTTGAAAGGTGGGGACCTCACGAATTGGGTGAAGTAAACCGGCAAATGCGCTTCGACAGCTGCGTTACATTAATTAACCGGCACAAAAATGAAGGGTTTTTAAATCAAATCATTAACTGTAATGAAAAGTGGATTCTCTACGTTAATCAGAAGCGCTCATCGCAATGGTTGGACCCTGGCATGCCAGCCAAATCCTGTCCCAAACGACGTAAGCGTTTGGTGGACTAGTGCCGGTGTCGTTCATTGCAGTCTTCTCAAATCTGGTCAGACGATTACGGCAGATGTCTATTGTCAGCAATTGTAAACCATACTTAAAAAACTAGCTGTTAAACAACCGAGGCTGGTCAATCGCTGTACGCCACTGCCACTTCATGACAACGCTAGACGGCTACCAAATTAGAAAAGTTTCAATTGTAATATCTATGACATCCACCGTACTCCCCGGACCTTGCTTCAACAGATTACCATTTTTTTCGAAATTTGGATCACTTCTTGCAAGGGAAAAAATTCAACTCCGATGGGACAGTGCAAATCGCCTTCAAAGATGTATTGATTCCCTTCCGAATGGTTTATTTAGTAAGGGGATCAAAAAGTACATTGATAACAATGGTTTATACTTTGATTAAATAAATGTATTATATTAAAAAATATTCGACTTTTTGTTCCTCCCATATCAAACACTAATTTCATATGTAAGGACCTGATATTATACTTTGTGTGCAGACAAGTGTAGCATTAGTTCTATTGATTTTTCATGAAAGGTTTTAGGGGTATTTTATCGATAATACGTTATACAAAATATACTTTCTAACGATTAGTAAATAAACTTTAGTTTTAATGTTTGAAATTGCTGTCCAACCTCCTTATTCTATAACTCTGAGGACAATCATAATCGATTGTTCAGAGATACGGTCACACGATTATGTGATTTTGACACGTTCGAATTGTTTACTTTTTACGGTGATGAGGACTTTTAGCTGTCAGTTTAATGAGGAAGAACTAGATGTCGCTACGGTACGTTCACGATTTCTCCATGACAACTTTTCTGGTTATATTTCAAGTTTAAAAGTAAAGTTTTTTTGTACTTCTTTGATTTGTATGATCTTTTTTTTTTGATTTCTATGTACGTAATGACTGTCTTTGGTCCATTCGTTTCCTGCAAAAATAAACTTCTCGAGTCGCCATCTAATGGAAGTGCTTTTTTAAGTGCTTTCGTTTTTTTTTTAATACTTTCTCATAGGCCTGCTGAGCAAATATAATACTACGCAGGACAAGTCGCGGGAAAAAGCTAAGAAGTAATCCATTTCATACTAGAATAAGCTCTTCATTTTTTCAAATAAAATACTTAATCGATATCTTCAGTGCAAATCGATTGCTTCAGGAACATCAATCGATTCTATTTTTTATGCTAGCAACACTTAAGAAATCAACAAGCGGGTTGCTTGTGTCGGTTTTGTTCGTAGTTTTACCAAAAAATATTATTTTCTGTTTCTTAATTACTAAACAAATTCAGTATTAATTGCGGCGATAACCCGATTTAATCATTATTTACGTTATTAATCAGTTTCGTAGGCTTTATTCACAGTGACATGTTTTTGAAGTGATAGCTTTGAGATTTTGTGGGAAATCAACGGTCTTACTGCTTCAATAATGGAAGATAACAATGAAAATGTTAGTGCTGTGGAATCTGCTTTCTCTAAAACGAGTGAGTCCGCTATCTATATATTATTTCTAACTGAAAATGACAAGAAACGCTTGACATCCGTTTATGTTACCCGACCATGTTAAATTTTTATCTTGTAAACGTTATTATCTTTGTGCCGTTTTATTTTTAGCACCTTGTATAAGTCCATTTTAAAGTATTACTAGTCTACTTTATTATTCTCAAAATGTTTAGTAAAATAACTTTCTGATAACGACGGAACAAAATTTTACGGTCCATTTCATATTCTAATTACATTTATCGTAGTCGGGTTATAATCCAAACATCAATACGATTCTCTGAACCAAAATCTAGGTTCATTATAAATGGTATTGATTTAACTACATAACGACACAGTAATTATTAGTTGTAAGCTAGAGCTGTGTTCGATTGGTGTTTTTAACTATTATAGCAACAACTAACAGTTATAATGACAGCTACATTTTATTATGTCAATAACATTTTGAACTTTATTGACGGAAGTCATACAGCTTACTTTACATAATAATATTCTAGGTTATGTTACCTGTTCAAGAAGTCTTATTTTTACCAGCAAATGTTCTTTACTCACATTGACGTTTTCTGTTAAATTTAATAGGAATTGTAATCAAAGTACATCATAAAACTACATTTCCTACGAAATCTATGCGCACACTATATGCAAAATTGCCTCAGTTGATTCAAAAATTCTTGAATAGGTGGAGATATTGTACAGATTAATGAATAAAATAAGTAATTTAGCTAAATTTTAACTTTTCTTCTTCCATTCAACATTATGTTTTACATTACTACTTGTTATAAAAGTATTCTTTAATACCACATACAAAGAAGAACCTTCAATTCTGACCTGTCAACATAGAGATGAGCAATTATTGTATATAGTAAAGTATTATATATTATAAAATAGCACATTTTTTATGATTAACTATTATGAGTAACTATCTTATATATTATATGATTATTTAAAATTGGCTTCTAATATTTTATTCCAGAATCCGACTGATCCTAATCATGTTCATTGAGTAATCTGTGTAGTCATTTCTCATTTTAAGAAAAATCTATTGTTTTTGTTACTTCCAAGTTAATTAATCTTGCAACATTCTTAAATAATTGTATAATTAATTTTGAAGTTTAAGTTAAATAAGAAAAAGTGGTTAAATAATGAAATAAATTAAAAAATGTTGATGTTAAAAACAAAACTCTTTGTTCTGAGTTTTGTTAGACTGATAGTTGGCAAACTATTAGGTTGTTATAGTTTGTTTGGTCCATTGGGACAAGCTATGGAACCTAGCAATACTGCCAAGTATTGAGTATGTTAAATTATTGAAATAATAGGGTTGATGCTGAGCAAATCTTAAATGCTAAAAGAGAGGACATCCTTAAAAAATAATCCATCAAGATATGTAAATGAGTTTTGAATTTAATTGAATGATATCCTTGTTTATTACTATGACAGCTATTCTATCATACAGTGTGTTGGAACACCGGTGTCTGACCCATAAAGTAATATAATCAATTTTATAAATCAATCCACTATAATTAGGCATTTTGCCCCATTTGTATTAAAATGGCGGCCATTTTAATTTATTTTTTCTCAGAGTATGGGAGATCCTACAGGCATAAATGTGGTATTGTTAGACAGCTACAAAAGTAGGCAATAAGCTGACATAAAAAATGTTTTCATAACTCCCTTAAAAACCTCTAAAAATTCTTGAAACTTCAAAAGTCTGACAGAATTTAGTTGTTTTTTAATAGATTTGTTTTTTTTTTTTTTTTTCAAAAAAACTAAACTTTTTACACACCTTTTTTTAAACTTTTTAGACATGACCTAAACACTGATTGAATAACCAAAGTTTCAAGTAAAATAATTTAGAAGTTGTGACTAATTGAATATGACCCCTTTAAAAATCCAAGTAGAAAGAATATAAAAAAAATATAAAAACAAACAAAAAATAACAATGTTGTAATTTAAAAAGTACAAATAAGTTATAATAATTGTTCAAATTTGCCTCCATGATATTGCAATCAAGTGATTGCCCATTCAAATTTTACCAATCAAATCTTCCCAAGGGGCCTCACTATAAATTGTTTTGTACTGCATTAGAATTTATGATTTGTTTTATGTGTGTATCGATTATAAAATTATTTCAATTGTGTAGTTATTTAGTATTACTTAACAGAATTCTAAACTACAGGGCTTGTTTCTATGTATTTATTAAAATAATTTGTTCATTTATTTTTTAAATTTGTTTTTACGCAGTCAGGTTTTTTGTTTTTCTTTTGTTATTTTAATACTTTCGTTACGTTTTTGTTTAGTGTTGTTGGAAGTATGGAAGACGCTCACTACTCAAGTCGGCATATTGCTGACATACACTTTGTTTACGGCTTCTGCAACGAGAAGGCTGCGAGTGCTTTAAGAGAGTATGCGAGAAGGTTTCCTAATAGACCTACGCCGAATGCTCGCACTTTTGTCCGAATTCTTGTGGCTGCCTGAAAATCCGCATGATCAAGTTGATTTTTACATGAATTTACGATCAAGACTTGGGCAGGAATGATCGACGACATTCTGATCGGATCTTTAATTTTACCAGGGACAATGAATGGTGCCAGATTTTTGGGATTTTTGCGGACGTAGTTTTTTGAGGCTTTGCTGGAACTGCCAATAGCAAACACAGCCAGAATGATATTACAATTTGATAGCGCACCGGCCCATTTTGCGAGAGAGGTGAAGACTAATTTATACGAAAATTATTCGCCATGGACCGGAGGGGGTGAAACTGTTGCCTGGTCACCGCGTTCTCCCGATTTAACTCCCCTAGATTTTTTTTTGGGGGACAACTAAAAAAAGTTTGCTTCGAAGTTCCCAACACACGAGAGGAACTAATCAAGAATTGTTGCTATATGGACGAGATCAGAGAAGACAGATATGATCAACCCAATAGTTAGGCATAAGGGCAACAACTTGTTTGCAAAATTGCGGAGGCAAATTTGAACAATTATTATAACTTGTTTGTAATTTTTAAGTTACACAACAACATTATTATTTTTTTTGTTTTTATATTTTTTTATATTCTTTCTACTTGGATTTTTAAAGGGGTCATATTCAATTAGTCACAATGGCTAAATTATTTTACTTGGAGCTTCGTTATTGAATCAGTGTTAAGATAATGTCTAAAAAGTTTAAAAAAAGGTGTGTAGACAGTTTAGTTTTTTTGAAAAAAAAAAATCTAATCTAATCAAAAACAACTAAATTCCGTCAGACTTTTGAAGTTTCAAGAATTTTTAGAGGTTTTTAAGGGAGTTATGAAAATATTTTTTTTATGTCAGCTTATTGCCTACTTTTGTAGCTGTCTAACGATACCACATTTATGCCTGTAGGATCTCTACACTGCCAGATATTGTAAACTAAATAAACCCACCCACACTCCAAGAAAAATATTAAAAAGAGGGGCCCTTTTAAAATAAATGGGGCAAAATGCCTTATTATGGTGGATTCATTTATAAAATTGATTATATTACCTCGCCTTAATGGGTCGGACACTGGTGTTCAGACAAACTGTAGACATATTTTTTCCCCATTGTTAGGGAAGATGTTGAATAAAAATAAACAAAGTTAGTCATGAGTAAGAATGAGGAATTTTTATATTTTATTTCATGAATAAGTAGTTTGTGCTACCATTTACTAAAAAAATGCTGCCCTCTTACTCTTATTTATTATAGTTTTTAACTAATATCATCGGTTTTTAGCTTCATTCAATGGGACTAATAAACTTATAAAAACTAAATATTTTCGAAAAGTTAAGGATTGAGCAGAGTTTGGATAGGGCAATTAATTAAATACTTTTTATTGATTAAGATGATAAATCTGGTTTCTAAACACTGTTTTACATATAACCTCAAATTTTTTGTTTTAATATTACTCAATTTCCTGATTAAAAAAGTGATTTATATTAATACCAATGTTTTATGATCATATTTGAAACATCATTAAAATCATTGACCTATCGTCAACGCTTATATAGAATGTTAACATTCTTCTTTAATAAAGGAGATATACAGAACCAGTAGGTCTGTAGTAATATTTTATATTGATATTGGTAGGGTATTACTTGAATTTATAGTTATGTCAAAGTGTCTTGTACTCTATACCTTTTCGTGACAATATCACTAACATATATCAAATCAAAATTATTTATCTAGTCTAGGCTGTCGCGACTACTTGTAAAAGTCGAGAGCTATGCCATTGATTCGTAAATCTATGGCGGGAGACCTTATACCGAGAAGAACCGACAAGAAACTCAGCAAGGGCTGCTTTTTGCTCCCTGTTTTATTTCATCGAAGCATCAAGATTGAAAAATGATACTTAAATGATTTAATATAATACTGCAACTGCAATTTTTATATTTCAATGCCCTTTTAAAAGTGTATACCCACTAGCCACAGCAAGTAACAACAAAAGATCATATGCAATAAGTTTTTAGCTTTAAGGCTTAAAATCAATTATAGAAATTGTGTTTTGTATACTCACTTGCTTATATATAACTCATAAGCTGCCAATAGACATCATTATAAATTACTTATGACATTTATTTTTGTAGGTAACCAACAGAATAGTTGAGAAGTTTGGATTTGTTATATCAAAAACATTTTTAATTTTTTCACCTGATAATTGACCTAGTCCTACTTTTATTAATAAATTAGTTTAAAATATCATATGAAAGCTGTTATATAATTCAACCCAATAAAGCCAACCCAGTAAATGTGAAACAATTATTAACTTCAAAAGCTGTTCCTATTACAAGTTTAGATTGTAAGATATGGACAAGTTGTAACATGTTAGATAGTTTTGTTAGTTGAGATATAGATCTTATTTCTTGTAAAATAAGGTTATGATTAAAATAAGCTTGCTTATTTAATAATTAACCTTCATCTATATTGGTTACATAATGCACAGGTTGTTAGTCTCTTACTATTTTTGACCATGCTCGGACTGACACCATAAATCTTGTCCAGTCATATAATGTTCTTTAAGTTTTGATGTGCTATATTTATTTTATTCATACATCCTGCCTAAATGAAATGTATTTACATTTAAAAGTGCAGTGATAATGGAAGATAGTAAGTTTTTAATGTATTGAATATAAACTAAGAAAGTAAAGTCATAAAATTAAATAATTATTTAGGTACATTACTGGCTGAACATTGATGAAAATACGCTCTTTAGTAACGAAAAAGTGCTTGAAAAATTCCTCAGTCTTGTAGTTCCTAGGTAAATTAGTGGTTAGAGCAGTCGCTCGGATTGCGAAAGGTCATGGGATCATCGAGTCCCATCTCAGAGTGCCAGGGACAAAGGGAAAGACATGGATTTTTTTAGCATTATTCATCACTATATAGTATAAAACAAAGTCGCTTTCTCTGTCCCTATGTTTGCTTAAATCTTTAATAATAATAATAATAATAATAAACTTTTGCACAACAATAGAACATACAAGAATCACAAAGATCAAGAGCGAAGCAAATGGCGGCTTTAAAACTACACAACGGATTTTGATGCAGTTTTTATTTCATAGTTAGGGCGATTCAATACGGAAGTGTTTATGTATAATACAAGACCTATTAGACTATAACAAGAATTTCACCACAAAGAGATAAAACGTATATCTAATACTATTCTTCTATAATTTGACTGATCGAAGATGACTCGTGTCTGCGCCGTAAAATCACAAAAATTAAAAATAAAATCAGTGAAACCGGTTGCTCCTGAGTATAACAAGCGGACGCAGGTGGGATGAAGTATGTCATAGCGTTTATACTATCACCCTTGTGAAGCAAAAATTTTCACCCTTCATTTGGGTCTCCAGACTAGTTTTGATGCAGGATCGCTACGCCACCGCTGTGACCTATTAGGAAAAACGATTTTACCGCAACCTGAAAAGGCTTGTAACACAAAATACAAGTAAATTCAGATATCTTATTCTTTATAAATAAAGTGATGGTTATTATTTTACCAGTTAACCAGTTTTTGAGGTTGGGTTATTTCTGCCTAAAACACTTCTTAAATCATGCTCATGTTTGATTGTTATTTTATTTAAAAATAGATTACTTGTAATGAGGAAGTATTTTAAGAAAAAAAAAAAAGAAAACACAAAAAACACCTCACTAGAGGGCGATTCTACCAAAAGCTGAATTTTGCTGGAAACAAATGGACCAAAGATAGTCATTTCTGTTCCTTTTAACTAAGATATTAAAAAAACTGAAATTTGCAAAATAACCCGGAAGCGTTGTCATGGTGAAATCAAGAAAGTACCGTGGCGATATCTAGATTGATTTCGAGAACTGTTTTTTTTTTAATACTTCCTCTTTTTCCTTCAGTTAGGAACCATTGGTGTATGTCAATCTAGGCGAACTGTCCACATCGGCTGCCAGGTTTTTCGCATGATTGATCTCACTTTTTAGAATGCGAAAATAAAAATGTATATTAGTTTCCAGCATATAAGGTCTCAATATGCGATTAACGCGTTTTTTATTGCTAAAATCAAACAAAATACTAACATTCATATAGTTAAGAATAAAAAAAACGTCATAAAATTACTTTCTTAAATTTATTTATTAATATCAATATAATATCGCTTATAGCTCCTCAAAAATCATCATCAGGGGATGGACCAGATAACAAAAGTGTAGATGTTTCACAATCATTATTTCCGGAGAGCCCAGTTTATGAACCAGATGAAGAATTGGATACTAATACTGAGCAGAATGATGTATGTGTTTAATTTCTTTGTAACATCATAATTTTTTATTTTTATATTTCTATTTAATGTTTTTATAATAAATATTCAATGTTATACTTATTTAAACTCACCATTACGTATATTTCAGAATGTCACTAGTACTGCTGATGATAATAATGCTGTGTCTCTTATTGAAATAAAAGGTATTTTACGAATTTTTATGTTATCGAAAATATAGTATAATTTTGGTTTTTCTTATAAATTCATAAAAAATATGTCTTACAGATGATCTTACTCCTACATCAGCTAAACGGAAGCTTAGTGATGATACAAGTGACACAAATGCAAAAATTCAGAAGCTTGACCTTATTGAAGATGAACATACAGTATCAAGTCAAACATTGGACGACGAGGTGTCTGAAATAACATCTGCAAAACGTAAACTTGAAAATATACCGTCTGTTTCACGAGTTCGTACTCCGTTGCGTTCCAGCCCCAGAAGAACCGCTAAAAGAAGCAATAGTGCAGATTTAGATAACCCCAAAACACCAAAGACTCCTAAATCAAGATCAGCCAGTGCAGATATCACTAAAACTCGGAAAACACCACGAAAAATTCAATTAGAAAAACCAAGAGAAGAACCAATATCTGAAGAAACCCATATTGTCATTTCTGATAGTTCAAATTCAAGACCTAGCGTAGAATTTGTCGCGGAAATTCGACCTCCGATAGACATCGCAGAAACTATAGCTGAAGAAAGTAATTCGGAACAAAATGATTCTCAAAATTTCCATTTAGAGTTGTCACCGACTCCTGAGGATATAACTGATGATGATAAAGCTATTTCACCAAAATACAGCAGTGATCCAGTCGTTGTAAAAGATAGGCAAGAAGTCCTTAATGCTGGTCAAATTCAAGAAACTCATAGTGACGGCTTTAAATATTCAGATCAAAATATCAATCTTTGTCAACCTCGACCAAAAGATTTTAATAAAGAAAAAGCAACTGATCAAGAGAGTACTGACAGCATAGGTTCTCTAAATTTAGAAAGTCCCGATCACGTACCTACTGTTGCTTCGCATTTGATCTCAAAATTATCAAACGGAAACTCTTCTACGCCTACAGAAGTTATCATTTCTGGAAAACATAATGTTAGTGAAGATAGCGATGGCACTCCTGATTTGGTTAAATTAAATGGAAATCAAATTAAAAGAACTAAAAATGATTTATTTAGAACCAGCAACACAACGACACCTTCAACAATTTCGCCCTTGCAAAATGGGCATTCCTTACCTATAAACACTCCTCAAATTCCAGTATTTGATGTCCACGTTAGTCATAATGAAGATTGTGAATTCCTTTCTCTTTACGTCGTTAGAACCGACAATGATTTGGGTATGGATATGTGTAAAGAATACCAAAGAATTTCAAAGAGATTTACAATAGATCCATATTTAGCAGACATATCTGTAAGCAATTCTCCATCGAGCGTAACAAGCGGTGGTATGATAAATTTGCCTAATCGAACCTCATTTGCATCGACTGTTGGTTCAAGTTCTACTTCAAGTAATCGAACTAGCGACGGTGCCTTTGTCGTACCTCAACCACCCCGGAAGTCAGTTACGAACCCTTCAACTTCTGTAAAAGGATACGATGGTTTGATGAAAAAATTGCAAGAAATATTTTCACACATCAGAGAAGCATCAGTTGACGAAATAAATCGATCGATCACCGATGACAAGATTTCAGTAGGCGTTCAAACATCGATTTCCGGTGACTCGGCAACTCTAAGCAATGGTAATGCGAGTCCAGAAGAAGTCGGTAAATGCGATAAAGCTACTCCTAAGAGCTCACTGAAGAAAACTAGGGTTAGAGGTCGACGGCATTTAGCTGGTAAAACAAAGCGAGCATTATTACCAACCCAACCGGAAGAACCAGAACTGGCTTACGGTATGAATTCTCCTGAAATGGTGCCAACTAATGGGGAAAGTGGCAAAGAATCTCCCATAAAATCCCCTAAGGAAGAAAAACCACTATCTACTGTAGTAGCAACACCTAAATCTGTTAACAAATTGAAACAGAAAAAGCGACCAACTTCTCCAAGACCTGTAACTCCCGTGGAAAAGATTGTCGTGAAGCCCGAGTATCCTGGATACGCCCCTGATACTGTAGTTTTAGCGAAATGGGTAGACAAACGTTACTACTCAGGAAAAGTGTTAGAAATCACAGAGCCCAATAAGTATTTGATCAAATTCGATGATGGCCAAACCAAAGTACTTCTAGATGACTTTATAATTTTTGGTGATATGAAATCTTTACCGTTACAAGGGCAATCAGTGTACACTATGGTTGATGAAGAACAGAACTATGAGCCTGGCTTAGTACTCGGCATGGAAGAGAATGACTGTGGCACTGTGACATATAAATGCACTACAGATGGGTAAGTTATTTATGTATTTATTTTCATACAGACATCTTAACATATTAGTTTGTAATCTACTTATGTTGGTTTTGAGAATTCCCCAAGGTTAATAGAAAATGTATACTAAAATCTGTACATACTTAACATTCTGTTATAAGTCTTGAGATTAATTTTCAGATGAAAAAGTATTTCGTTAACATCTCTAGCCGCATTATCTAAAAGTGACTTCTGCAAGTAGTGTTTATATAGCTAAATCTAGCTGTTCATTTGTCTCGAGAACGGCTAGACCAAATTAGCTAATTTTGGTTTTAAAATGTTTGTTATAGTCCAGGGAAGGTGACAGGTGATACGAAGTACACGGGTCATCTAGTTATTAATAAATATTGAAGTGTCTAATAAATCTGTTTTTAACATATAGTGACACTTTGGTGATGGTGACCGCTAGCGAGTTGTATTTGACGGAAGATCAAGCTCGTTCTCTGAAAGAATCTGCTAGAGCGCGTTCCCCCACCGCACCGACCACGCCGCGGCGACGACATCATCGGGAACTAGACCTGGACAATATTATACAGGTACCCAATCACATTGCCGCAATATTTGTAGCAATTCTGTTGCATAATTTCCAGTATTTGATGTCCACGTTAGTCATAATGAAGATTGTGAATTCCTTTCTCTTTACGTCGTTAGAACCGACAATAATTTGGATTTGGATATGTGCAAAGAATACCTGGACAATATTATACAAGTACCCAATGACATTGCCGCAATATTTGTAGCAATTCTGTTGCAAAAACTCGATTAAATTTGCTTTTAATGCTGTCAAACTGCGTTTTCAATTCAGTAAATGACTAAGATAATAAAAATAAACATATTATAGTATACTGGAGTATATATAATATTGACTACTTGACAGTTATAACCTCTTATAGGTATACAATAAATCGTGGTAAAATTTGTAATTAAATCCAAATAAAAATTGAACATACAGTATGACCTTGTTAAGAGAGAGTCGGGTATGTGAGAAAATTATAAATGGCAGTAAGAGACAGGTTGGTGGTTTTAACCCTCTCTTAAAACGTTGGTTTTAACCCTCTTAAAATCTCTAGTAAGTGAGAGTCAAAAATCTCCTTTTCCACTGGTGAACCTGGCACTTACGTGTACCTCTTCAAGTGAGAGTCTAACCTAAGCCTATTAAACATCTGCTATTTATAATCTGTGTATTTTGAAAAACAAGAACAATGCCATTTAACCATCGATCACGAAATAAATTGATTTAAATAAGCTAAGAAGAGCACCACCTAAGAGTTTGATTTATAATTAATAGGCATATCTTTATGACTAATCTGACTGCTGTCACTACAGTGACGGCACACAATGGCGGATCGTGTTTTAATCACGTGACACACAGACAAAAAACCACGACACGATAAAATGTTGATGCGATTTCAAGACTTGAAATCAGGTTTATTATGATGTAAATTTTTGTTCTTTTTTTGCTTTTTCGTGACTTACTTTTCACTACCGAAACTATACTCTATTAGGAATTAAGAACTTTTAGCAATAGCTTGTTAGAAAGCTTTTAAGGACAACATGATATACTTCTGTAAGTGAGAAAGGCGACTTTATACCTCTCTAAGCTAAAAACTCGTGCTTGTGAAGCACAAAAGTCGTGGTTCCTCAAACTTCAATCCAGGTTCAACAACAGAATTGACACCATAGTTATGTATATGTACTGAAGCATAAACCTAGTTTATTTTGGTTTACAAAACTTCTTTTTTTTTTTATGTAATGGAGGAATGTTTAATTATAGTTGGAGTCACTTAAGTATTCTTCGGCTAGTATACGCTACGAACAATTTAAGAAAACTGCTACAAATGTCAAAATCAACCACAACTTTATATCAAGGGAATCATGCTGTAGATCCGACAAAACTCAAACTTCGTTGCGCTGTGAGACTCAAATCTAACGTAAGGCCACCGAAAGAATATATGTGAACCATCTGATTGTTACTGAGTTGTTTTGAGATGAATAGCGGTTCTTAGCTCTGCAATGTCTCTCGTATGTAGTATGTAGTGTCTTCCATTGGTTAAAAATTGCTTTTATTGCGTGTCTCCTAACCATGACAAAAAATGAGAGAAGGTCCAAATATTAGGTTCGCTAGCCGCTGCTGCCATTTTTATATCAATTGACAATGCGATTGCCAAAGTATAAAGTTAATATAATTTGTATATCATCAAATGAAAAGTTTAAAATCTCTAACAGTTTTTGGTTCAATTTATTGATTTTCAATATCCAAAAAAATTACAAATACTTTGCTCTAGGGCCCGCGCAGCGCAAGAAGCAGAGACAAAGGAAATTCAAGTGCCCGGAAGCGTATAACTTCACCAAAGAGTCCCAAAGCATCAACATCAGGTATTTATTCAACATGATCAACGCCTTTATAGCACCTTTTAAATGTACCGGTTACCTTGATAACACATCATTAATGCAAAGGAAATTAAAAACTAACCTACAATATAGTCTTAAACTCCTTAGTTCAAAGGTTCCTGACCTAGAAGTCACCCTGCGAATCGTCGCTAATTTATCGAAATCAGCTGGTTGTTTTTTTTTTTTAAAGTTCGATGATTAAGACCCAAAAAGTCTATTTGGGACGTGATTTAAAAAAATATATCAAGAGCACATATACAGATTTCAGGAGCGGCCACCAGCTCGACAATCTGCCTAAATAAAAGCAATTTTCCTAATAAAGGGGTAACAATCAAGAAAAGTGGGATCCACTGCTTTTGATGATAAATAACAAAACCTATTTTTTGTTCATTAATATTTAAATTTTAATATCATTTAATCGATTATAACATTAAACCTTCGTATATTTGCAGAAGAGTTCAAAATCGTTTACAGGAATTTGCGATTTGCTAGTCACTTGTATAAGCACAAATCGTTCCTCCAATGATAGCTTCTCGTTCTATATAGGTTTGAAGACCCAAGCTAAGAGTACGCCGGCTCGTAAGCGATTGGCGAGCGAAAGTAGTGAACTGAGCGAGAGCAGCAACTCAGCGCCCCCCGCTAGACTGGAGGACGTCGCAGGCGTCGAACCTGAAGTACAGAGGACGCCGCGCAAGATAGACGGAGTCAAAGGTATGTCGGTATAAGTCTTGTAAATTGACGTCTTTTGAAAGTATGGATAGCACAAAAGGCACGAGATAAATTATTGATTAATTATTTATGAATAGTCATTAAAATTTTGTTATAATAATTTTATAACTTTTAGTTTGATTATTTATTGCATGAATCTTCGGAAAAGTTCAGTTTAATGTTAAATTTGAGGTTTATAGAAATAAAAGAAATATGAAAAAAAAAGAGATTTACTATGCAATCACGCGATAAGAAACGGAAGAGACATTTTTTTTTTAAATAAACGATGAGCAATTATGAAATGAGATACCTACATTAGAAATATTTATAATTACTTAACAAAAATTTTGTGAAATCTCAGCACAAACCAATTTAATCAGTATACTCGTCAATCCGTGTTTATGTAAATGTACTGATTTTCAAACGTAATTACGTCATCAAAATGGCGGCCAAGCGCATTAGCAATTTACGGGGATTATATTATTATATAGAGTCAGTAACTGGATGGTGACGTAGTGGATAAGCGCCAAGGCCCAAGGTTGTTGTTGTTAAGCAACTTTCGCAATGGCCCGACCATTGGAATGGGAGACAGAAACTTATTATCTCGAGCTAATCGATATAGAGCTAATTGGGCCAGCCGGAGGGTCATGGCCTATTATCCTTAACCATACATAAGTCCATCCATCCATCCATCCAGAAATAAGGAAGGTCTGAGCCTCTGCAGTGGGGACGTAAAAGAGCTGATGGTGATGGGAGTCTACAATCTTTATTGCAGCATTAATGTGGAAAGTGCAATAGGAGTGGCGAGGGAGCTGCTACTTGAGTAACAGAGTTATTCTATTTCTGGTCGCAGTTTTGCATTGCATTTACATATGCATAATACACTTTGTAATTTCAACTTCTAGTTTACAAATATGTTTATTTTTTGTTACAACATTGTTGTTTATAATAAATTAAATCATTCATAAATAAAGTCAAAAATATAAACTGTCATGGTATGTTTACGGTAGACCATATTTTAGACTGCAAAATATATTTGTTGGAGTTGGATATTCTTTTTCAAAACTCTCAATCCGAAGGAAAAGGTTATATGACAGTTATCTCTCAAATGCTCCAGTTTAATAAATAGTGTCTAAATCTTGAATAATAGCTGAAAATTTCTACAGGGTATCAATAATATCTATTCATTTTAATTGCAATTGTGTTTTCATTGTCAGCCGGCCCGCTTCAATTGAAAGGTGCAGCGAAACAGAACATCGGCAAGAAGAACTCCAAGTTGACAAAGTTCGAGAACGACGAGGACACAGTTTCCCAACTGGGCCCGATCCCGCCCAGTGACAGCAAACTGTTCGTTGGGTTGCACTTCCTACTCACGTGCACGGATACACCGAGGCGACTGAGGGAGATGGCAGAGAATTTTGCCGGGAAAACTGATAATGTTGAGAAGGTATTAAAACATAATACAATTTCAAAAAATCTTTTTTGGATACTATTTTGGACCAGAAATCTTGCTGAGATTAAAACGAGCCCATAATTAATTGCAAAGTTCCGATTGCCGCCTTCCAGTTCCAACACCAGAACCTGTATATTTGTTTTTATTTAACTTTTATTACAATATAGTAAATGGCGGACTTAATGCCATACAGCATTCACGACCAGTCAACCAGTAAAAGTCTCTGATAGAAAGCCTACGGGCGCAATAAAGATAAACAAACAATAGCTTCAATAAAAATAACATATGTACATGAATATACACACATGTACTATATACTATAAATACTTGTTATATTGTAACTTATAATTTGTTAAAATCGACTATTTAAACACTTAAGTTCAAATTAGAAAATAAAATACATAAAATAATGAAACCGGGAAACTAATAATCTAGTGTTATTCTAATTTGATCTTTATTGTTACGATTTAGAGTCAAAGTCATTATTCGTCTGAGGAGGATGGAGAGACTGCGGGCTCGATGGCCGGCACCGATACTGAAGATTTGGTGTTCTACTCGAGACCGTTCAACAAGGAACGTCTCAAGGAACAGATTGAAGCTGGCGGTGGGAAAGTGTACAGGTGAAGTACAATGTGATTCTTATCATAAAATAGTTAATTAAGATACGAGTGCGGAAAGTAAGGTTTTACGAATAAGGGCCAAATTGGCACGAATTCGAAAAACCTTTTACGTTCAAGTTTCTTACAACATATTTCAATGCTTTTTGCGAGGAAATAAAACAAATATATAGGTTAAAAACTAAGTATGTCTTAAAGTTAAAAATCATTAATAATTAAATGTGATATTTGAACATGTTTTCGTGTCATACATTTTTATTTGAAAATATTCGTTCTAGGCTCCTTGAAATACTTTTGCCTCTAAAGTTTGACATAATTTCATCATTATTTTTTTGGTGCTCAACCAAATAAAATTTAAAAAATACTTTTAAGCACGTGTGCAGTAAAGGATTTCAGTACACTTTCGGTGTCTATATAATGGATTTTAAAAATAACGATTTAACGCAACTGCATTGAAAAGTATATTTCAATTCCTTTATTGCTCTCCATTATGTACGCACGGCCGCACGTTACGCTACACACCACCACAGTAAACAGGCCTCTGTTAGTAGGGAAGTTCTATACGAAGCGTGGTCGGTACAAAGTCTACTATGTTTATTCACGTGCAGGAGTGTGTATAACAAAAGTGTTATAAAGAAGAGAGGTATGCTTATTTGTTGACCCTATTGGGCATGGCAATAAGAGAGTAGAGGACAATTTTTATTTTTGAAGAAATAATTATAATGTAAGTACAGTCAAACTATACATAACTCAAATTTCCACATATGATTTTAAACCTTAATCCATTACAGAAAGTTGACGTATTGTGGTAACCTGACGTGCAGCCGTGAGCATCTTTTATATTTAAAGTCCCTTTTGTGTTTCGTGATTTTTTCGCAATGCAATGTTTTTTTTTAAGGAATTATTTTAAGAAAAAAAGAAAGCAATAAAAAGGTTCCTCACTAGATGGCGACTCTAGCTAAAGTTGATTTTTGCAGGAAACAAATGGACCAAAGAAAGTTATTTCTGTTCATTTTAATTAATATATTAAAAAACTGAAATGTGCAAAGTTCGAAATTTAGATATCAAAACAAATAGAATATGAGTTGTGAAAGAAAACCAGAAGGTGTAATAGAGAAATCATGAAAGTGATGTAGCGACCTATTTTGTGTTTGATTGAAATCATAATTTTTTTTTTAACTTCCTCATTACAATATTTAAATTACATTACTATAAACTCTTAAGGTAGTTAAAATTTAGATAAAATTAAATAGAAATGTTTCCCGGTGTCCATCTGGAAAGGCTACAAACATACAATTACTTGCTCTAACACTTTGTTGGTAAACATTATTTACCGAATTTGGCTACGGTTAAACATGTTTTAACAAAAACCGTTTTCCAAAATGCAGTCACTTCGACGACGTGCCGAAGAACAAGTATACAGTATGCAAACTGATAGCGCCTCGTCCGTGCATCACCGCCAAGTACATACAGTGCCTGGCGGCGGACGTGCGCGCGCTCTCCCACGGGTGGGTCATAGAGAGCTGCGCGCGACAGAGGCTGCTCGACCCCGACAGCTTCGCGCTGCCGGCCGGATGGTCGCTCGTGCAACAGAGGTTCCTCAACTGGGTGAGTGCTACGCCGTATGTATATGTATATATAGAGAGCTGCGCGCGACAGAGGCTGCTCGACCCCGACAGCTTCGCGCTGCCGGCCGGATGGTCGCTCGTGCAACAGAGGTTCCTCAACTGGGTGAGTGCTACGCCGTATGTATATGTATATATAGAGAGCTGCGCGCGACAGAGGCTGCTCGACCCCGACAGCTTCGCGCTGCCGGCCGGATGGTCGCTCGTGCAACAGAGGTTCCTCAACTGGGTGAGTGCTACGCCGTATGTATATGTATATATAGAGAGCTGCGCGCGACAGAGGCTGCTCGACCCCGACAGCTTCGCGCTGCCGGCCGGATGGTCGCTCGTGCAACAGAGGTTCCTCAACTGGGTGAGTGCTACGCCGTATGTATATGTATATATAGAGAGCTGCGCGCGGCAGAGGCTGCTCGACCCCGACAGCTTCGCGCTGCCGGCCGGATGGTCGCTCGTGCAACAGAGGTTCCTCAACTGGGTGAGTGCTACGCCGTATGTATATGTATATATAGAGAGCTGCGCGCGGCAGAGGCTGCTCGACCCCGACAGCTTCGCGCTGCCGGCCGGATGGTCGCTCGTGCAACAGAGGTTCCTCAACTGGGTGAGTGCTACGCCGTATGTATATGTATATATAGAGAGCTGCGCGAGGTAGAGACTGATATATATGTATATATGTCGGCGGGTGGTCAGAAGGGGCTATTACGAAGGAAGCCCCAAATATATCGTCCATATCGGGGGACTATCTTTAAAATAACATTGCAGGCGTGTATACCAATGTGGATTTATTCCATTTTATCACTTTTCATACGAAAATGTTACGAGATGAGCGTGATTGAGCGTTATGTCGTCGGATCTCTTTACTCCTCGGCGATCGGAAACAGAATGCCTGCCAAAATGGTGGCAACTTGATTTTCGTTAACGAACTGTCAAAGTCATCGATAAAAGTATCGATGTTCACGCCTTCTCTACAATCGAGTAATTAAATCAAACGATCTTCGTAACGATGATGGAGATATTCTGCGACATATATATTAAGTAAATCCTTAAAATCATTTTGCACTTTGAATGGTTCCCGTGCTTTTCCTAGATAATTTTACACTCTAAAAAATGGAGGCCAACAAAGAGCGATTTTCTCTTGGTTGACATAATATTAAATAAAACAATTACTTATTTACATAAATCAATCAAAGCTGAAACATTGAACCAACTAGTTAAAGTATGGTTAAATTAAAAATTTGGTAACTCTGATTAATTCTATCAAATATATTTATCGTATCTATCATTACTGGATTTTTTTGTGTGAATCGATTATTTTTAATAGTTAAATTTAAAAAAACTAAGTATGTTGAAGCAATTTATACAAATTAATCAAAATAAATAGGTAAAGTAATAGATTAGACGATTTTTATTGTTGCAGTAATAAGTTTCTCGTATTTGATTTAACAAAGAACGTTAGTAGAACCAAAAAAACCCTTTGTTTTTCAAACAACATAGACTATTTAGTCAATTCAAAAACATGAATGATTAATGTAACTAATTGACATTATTGGACTAACTAAAATTAAGCTGTTCATGCTACTAACAATGTATTTGCTAAAATAATTGTCAAATTCTGATTGATTTAAATACTCTCTTACATGAATCAACTACGAAAAGCGAGTGCCAACTAAGAGTGACTTTGTTAAATCAATCCACACAAACTTATCAAATTTACTTTTCAATCAAAAATCACTTTTCTTCTGTTTAAGACTGGTTTATGATGCATCAGTCCACAGTTTTATATCTTTCCTTGATAGATTATTGTTTGTTTTTGTTTTAGTGTTTCGTTTTTATGCGACAGATAGCCGTTACATATTAGTCTGGCACTATTATTTGAATGTTAGTGATTATATATACACAGTAAGATCAATTATCAACACTTAAGACTTTGTTTTCACTTTCGCAAAACTAATATTAATAAATATCGGGAAATATTTAATTTAAAATTAAATTAAATCAGCTGTAAGGATTTGACAATTTGACAATCGTAAGGATTTGACACACGCCAGTGTCAAATATGACGAGGCAAGTTTGTGAGAATATTGTTTGAATATTGTTATGAAAAAGATTAATTCAACCAACATGTTGGTCGATATTAATATGAAACACGCCCATCATCTTCATAGGTGCCCGAATAGTTCTAAGCCTGCAAACTAGATAGCGTTGTTCACTTAATGCATCGCGGTATCAGTTTATATCGTTAGATTGTATAAGTAATATGCCGTTTAAAATGAACTTAATATGGGAATCGAAACCAACCATTCCAATTATTTACTTTAGCTCTTTGGTTAGGTTCTGAGCTGTGGTCCGAGTTAAAAGTCTCACTCGCTTTGGACCAAAAGTTCAGAATGATCAAACGGCTAAAGTGGTTGGTTCTCTTGGTTGAATTACCATTGGTAAATTGGTTAGTATAATCATATCTCATGCTTAAATTGACCAATCTTTTGGCCGAATTAACTTCGGTAAATTGTTTGGAACAACCAAGTTTCATATTAATATCGACCAACATGTTGGTTGAATTAACTTCGGTAAATTGGTTAGTACAACGATGTTTCATGCTTATATTGACTAACCTATCGGTTGAAAGAACTAAGGTAAATTGGCAAGTACAATCATATTTCATGGTTAAATTGACCAACTCTTTGGTCAAATTAACTTTCGGGAATTGATTAGTTTAGCCACGTTTTTCATGTTAATTTTTACCAACCTCTTGGTTGAATCAACTGTGGTAAATTGTTCATACAGTCACATATCATAGACATATCGACTACGATCTTATTTAAATTGAAGACTAGGCGGTAGTTGCTATAGTTATTTATAATGATCAAATTGAATGAAATTTTAACTATCTTAACAAAGTAACTATAGTAAAAATAATAAAAACCAGCTTATTTAATGTATCTAACATCTTGTCAGGCTCATATGGAAACAAGATGCTTGGTCACATATATCACAATATTGTTTGATGTAACAAATTTTTTTTTAGAGTGTAGTATCAATTTATTCATAAATTACGTCATGCGCTCTTATTGGTATTACGTTTGACGTGAGACACACACTACAAATATTTAAAAATTTTATTTTTTTCTTAATGAAAAATGCTTCGAAATCCTCCTTTTTCTCTGGGATTCTGAGATGGAACTCCAACCCAACAACACAGGACCCATCAGGACTTACGAATCTTTCAAGCACTTGTTACTTTTTCGCTACTACAGAGCGTATTTTCATCAATGTTCAGGCAATCCACCCAAACAGTCGAAAGATTTAGTATGCGAGATGTGGTATTAATAATTAAAATAAAAAAGAAAATAAACAATTTGGCATCTTAATGCCCAGATAATCATCTTAATGCCAAATTGTTCTTTAAGTTATTTTTACCATTGGTGACTTATCAAAAAAGCTTTTTAACACAGGTGCCGTCGACGGGCAAACGGAATACGTCCATATTCAAAGACAAGCTGATCGTCCTGTGCAGCGATCAGGACACGTTCCTCAAGTTCTGGGATCGCGTGTGCACTCTAGCCGGAGCGAACACCCGCCAGGTCAACGAGGACGATCTCAACATGACCGGCGCCTTGGTCCTGGTGACCGAGCTGGACTGCCCTCACGAGGTCCAAAACAAAGCGAACCAAGACAACATACCGCTAGTGTCCACGCACTGGGTCATCCAGTGCCTGATCGAAGACAAAATCGTCGACCCCAACGGTCACGCGAAGTTCTCGTTTGCGTTCACGGAGCAAGAATGATCCTGGGACTTCAGAAAGTACCTCATAATACGTGAAAATTGACACTTGAGGTGTAAGCGATCGGACGCTTTTTAGTGTTAGTGGGGAGTGATGAGTTGTTGGAATACAGTGGCTTAGTGATGAAGGAAGATTCAATATATAGTGGATTTGAAGTTGGCGGATACTGAGTCATCACTTTTGGTATAAGTAATGTGGTCTTTGAATAAATGTTCGCGAGTATCATAAAACTAAGTGACTTGAAAGTTCTGATACTGCTAATTATATCATGTATCTTGTATAAGAGATTCCCTATACCTAAATGTGAACTGAATTGTTTTATGTGACTGTTTTACAGTTTATAAATTCAATTCGAGCATTTTAATGTACCATGAAATGTTCTACACATTTCCAATTATTTATAAATATTGTGATGTTTACATTGTTACATCAATGATAAAGTTTCCTTGTAACAAATAATTTCTAGTTATTATTAATGCGATAAATTTAAGTATTATGTCAAATCATGAAAACCATATAATCTCAGAATACGAATAAGTTTATTCTGTATTCTGAGCATAGATAATAGATGTAAAAATGAGGAGTTGTGTTAAAGGTGTGACGAGTTTGGAAGTCTAGCTCTAAGTGGCAACTATTTTTTGTAGGTTCTAAGTAAAAGCATTTTGGATAGTACAAGTAAATCATTTTATCCTAAAAGTCATTAAAAAACAATGTAAATTTTAGTAGTTAAATTTGATAATAATCTATTGGAATCATTCATGTTTGTCATTCTAAATAAGACCTTATTGAAATATAAATATGGGTATTTTCTAAGTTTCAAATAACATTGTTTGTAAACAAAATACGTTTTGAAAAAGAAACAAACTATTCTTATAACTTTTGACTTTTAAGACAAAACTGACTTGAATTTAAATAGTGTTAAATATGTGTGTGAAGTTTGTGAATTAGCATGTATTGTGATCATTAGAAATGTACACAAATGTATAATAAAGTATTAATGGCTTAGTCAAATTAAACAAATTATAATTAAGCTTAGCTATTTCGTATTATTGTTTTGGAATTTTGTAATAGGTTCATTAAATGTTTAAAACATCAAATTGACTTGACAATATCTGACCTTGTGTGGGTCTCAAATTAAAGCGCATTACTGTAGTCGTTACAATTTCAAAGGGGATATATAAACTTTCTATTTTGAGAGCGGAAACACCTCAAGATAACTATGTGGGTGGGTGCTGATTTGAACCATAGTGTATCTAAATAAATGCACACTGATATTGAATCTTATTGCAAAGTCAATAAGATACTGTTATAGTGGGTATTGATTTTATACATTTTTGCACTAGAATTTGAAACACTGACCTAAATATGAAAGTTAGAAAGTTAGAAAAGATCGTCCAGAGATTTAATACTCCACTCCATTAATTTAGTAGAATGGTTTGTTACGAGTTCTACTATCAGATTTGGACAATGACTAATATATTTCAGCTAACTTGAATGTGTTTTCATCTGTTACTGTATGGGGCTTAAGTTTTACTAAATGCATTTATTTTGTATAAATATTTATATATCCTTGAGGAACTTGTAACGATTTTGCTAATACTTGTGTAGACCAATTATTTATCAATTGTGACTTTATTTTGCAGTGTGATATTCTTAGTCTTTATTATTAATTTTTGTTAACTATTTTTCCGGATTTAAATTATGTTTTTTTAATTGTACAATTTATTCAAGCCTGAATACTGTAATTCTTATATAATTGTAGACATAGGAAATTATGGGCTTATTATGTGTGACTTGTTAATTTTGTATATAATTATTTACATGTCACAAGTTAATTTATAAATTAACATGTTTGTTTAAATGTGCGTAATTAAAATGTGCTATTTTTGTTCTTGGATCTCCAGATATGAAGTATTTCAAGAAAATCATAAAATACTCTGTGATGGAGTTTTTTTTCGTAATAAGACGATTACTTGATCATGTACAGTATGTTGTTAAGTATTGATGTAGATATATTTAATTTGTATCTGTCGCTTATTTTCTCAAGTATGTCTAGACACATTGTTGATAAATTAATTTAAAATGTCAAATGGATTATGTGTTTATGACTTATATAATTACAGGTTAAGTTACAATGTAAACCACAGTTGAAAATCTCAATGCACTGACTTAATTAAATCAATCAGTAAACCGAACAGACAATTTATTACGTTTGCACAGTGATAGAAACAATTTAAGAAATCTGTAATTAATACTCGCTTGATGCAGTGGTTCCCAACCTGTCTCTGGCCTCTGAGATCGGCAAATTTTATGTACCGTAGAACTGCAAAGTGCGCTAGTAGAAATACAATACAATCCTGTGGAGGTAGTTAACTCAATATTGGTTTTGATTGAAAATATAAATTTTGTATATTGTTCAATTGCAATTAATTATTCGAAGATATATATCTAAGTGTGTAATAGAATGTTTAATATGAATTCCGGAGGTGGTCTTGATGTTATTTTCTTAAAGACTACAGCTAACATAGAACTTGATGAAAAATGGAACTATTTCTGCTTACTTGGGGGTTACTCAAAAGTATTCACGTTATTGCAGAGTTGAAGCTCGAGTGATACTTTACCAGAGCGCGTCTTTAGAATACTAATATTTTTAATGTAATGGTCAAGAAAAATCATAATAAATGATTTAGGTTATATTTTAACTGCACTTTTATCAGATATCTTGTCCGATGTGCATGTTAAAAAGCATTGATATTTTTTTTTTCACTTTGCAATCTTTAAACTAGAATTTATATTCTATTGATGAAAAAAATGGGATGCTATCCTGGGCTCTCCGTTTTAAATAAGGTGTTTATAATATTTTTTAGTATTTACACATTGACATATACATCTGCATTTCACTTTTTATATAATTGTATAGAATTGTTTTTGTTATGTTCTCGACATTTTGTTGTATGAATTCAGGTAGAAGTGTAATGTGTAAACTATGATTAAACCGTGGAAATAATTGTACTTTGGTTTTCTTTATTCGTCTCATCGTTAGTTTCTTTTTTTAATATCGGCTTCATACTTCGTTGAGCGTGGTACACTGCTTTTTTATTTTATCACCTAATGGTGATTTTTCAGTACGGGATTTTTCAGTTCGGGATATATTAATATATATCCCGTACTGAAAAATATTCTTTGTAATAAAATATTTTCATCGTTATCGAAAGTTTAATATTTCTTTCGGCTGTTTGGGTGGATTGTCTGGACGTTGATAAAAAACACTATAGTAGCAAAAACGTAACAAGTGCTTGAAAAAATCATCAGGCCTGTTATGTCCTGGGTAGCTCAGTGTTTAAGAATATCTTGTTGATTTCGCCAGTACCTATCTAGTGTTTCGCTCAGTTTAATTCATATTTTATAAACTCTGCTTTTTGTGTGAAAGCTCAAGTTAAATTTGGGATTTTTAAGAATATCTTGTACTATTTAATGAACTGAACATTGTGCGATATTCAAGCACCACGCCATCTATTGTTTAAGTTAGTAAACACTCAATCGAATTGCAGCACTTCAATGCAGCTGAACTGTTTATTTTTTTTAATTCTATTTGATATGAATAGATGGCGTTATTTACACCAGACTTATTTTAGATGAATATGTAGTGGAGATCGTTACAAAAATATGCAATAGTAGCACTGGATACTGAGCGATGTACCTTTAGTTCATCAACATAATGAAATATCGAGTTTTAGAAAGCCGTTACACATTTATGTCATGAATTCTTCGTCTAGAAGAATAGCAGCATGATAATGACCCTAAACATACATTCTAAGGCTTGCAGTGTCGTTGCTAATCCAAGTTTTTATAAAAAAAAGTTCTTATACCTAATCAAAACTTAAGAAATTAAACATTACTATTATTAGTAGCTCGGTGGCGTAGTGGATAAGTGCCGCGGCCTGCGAGCGATCGCGACTACGAAATCGTTAAGCAACTTTCGTTAGGGTCGGTCACGGGATGGGTGACCAAAAAACTATTATCTCGAGCTACTCCGTGCTTCGGAAGGCACGTAAAGCCGTTGGTCCCGGCTGCATTTGCAGTCGTTAATATCCTCCAATCCGCTTTGGGCCAGCGTGGAGGATCATGGCCCATCCTCCTTAACCATGCCAAGACCTGAGCCCCTGCAGTGGGGACGTATAAGGACTGGTGATGATGTAAATTACTACCTCCGTGGGCGAGTGAGAAATGCCAGGATCTCGGTTCAATTCAGTGACCGGACAATATAGAAATTGCTCTTTCCTGTGTTATCTCTGATCTGGCTGAATGATCGAAGCACCTTCGTTGTTTTAGAGTTCAATAATAATACACGTTTTAACAAATAGTACAGTTGACACTGTGAAATAGAAAATACCAAATTACACATACGTGCATGTGAATAAACATGATGTGAGATGATTTCTATTATTACACTTTCTAAACCTTAAAATTAGAATAAGTATTAGAAAAAAGGTAAAACTCAAATATCTCAAGTTCCTCCATACTTCGGAAGGCATGTTAAGCCGTTGGTCCCGACTGTATCGGCAGTCGTTAAACACTCACCAATGAGCACCAGACCCGTGTGGTGGATCATGGACCATTCTTTCTATTCGATTTGATGCGATTCCGTCCATTGGCATTCCAAGCAGTGGGGATAGATATTAGTAGGCTGGTGATAATGATGATTGATAGGTTAGCAAACAAACTATTAAATTTACAAGCCTAGGTTTTATAACAGACTATTTACGCAAACCGAATTAACTAAGGCCGACTTGAGAAAAGAAATTCAATTATTTTTCACGTCACATATCATTGTCGTTTTCCAGCTCTTTCATGCGTACCTACTGTAAACTCATTAATTATGAGCATTACCTAAACTTGTCACTGCCGTCGCGGTGTCAACACATATAATTAACATACAATGACCCTTTAACAACCACCGATATAAAAACACAAGCAAAGTTTATCTTCGGAAAACAATACATTCTCTGTATATGACCTAGGGGTGAGCGTACAAGATAGGGGGCTTTAAAAGTGTATCATTTAACCCTAGGCCAATAGCCATAGGGCCAGGCTTAAGGTTACCTATATAAAAGCAATACTATAATGTTTTGTATATCCAGTTTTGTTGAAGCTTACAGCGTCGGTGGTCGTTCAAGGCCTTACATTTTCACGAAAACAATCTGTGTAAATAGAAATCGTGTGTAGAAATTAGTGTCAGTACCAAGGATATGCAGTGTTGATTGGATGATAGGATTACAGAAGCGGATACCGATCTCTTTACTAAACATAATTTTATTGTACTTTAGGGTTGCCAACTCCAGCGTCCAAATACTGAGCTGTACCTAAAGGAAACCTAGAACAATTCAGTTAATTGGTTAAAGTAATATGTCATACTCTATTAGATGGTTTTGCGGATAAATTAAATTTGGATAATCGTACGTCACATGAATATAACGTAGATTGTTAAAGCTGAAGAAGTCAATGTCAGTACCTACCATGGGTACGCAGAGTTGATTGGATATAACTTTAAAATATAACTTTACGGAAAATCGTTACTGAATTTAAAATAAAATCGACATGTTTTGACTATTTTTGCTTTTGATACTTTTTACTATTGCATTATTTGAAAAAATAAAGAAGGTGTCGATGTGAATTTTGGTCGATGTACGTAACATTTTGATATTTACCTAATGACATGGTTATGTACAAGAGTTTTTTAAATTAATTTGGGGATAGTTAATGAACTCAAAATTATTTCTTACTAGCTGTGCCGTAGTCGTAGCTATAACCTACGCTTTATCGATATTTCTTATTAATCTGTTTATATTTTTTTAAAATCAATTGTTTTTTTTTATATTTATATATTTTATCAAACACTTTAGTTTGATTTTCTTTTCGAAATAGCATTGTTTGTATCATTATTCGACATTTTGTAAATTTCGTTTAACTTTAATAATTCAGCAAACAAAAACAACTAAAAGCATTGATTAAATATGTAAATAATAAATTCATGTGAAATACCCATAAAGCGTAGGTTATAGCTACGACTAACGCTACGTACATGATTTAGGCGGTCGCGCCCCTGTACTTGGTTTTAGTTAATTCGTGGCTTTATCTGTAAGAAATTTTGCGAATTTTGGGAGTAATAAATAAAAGATGTGTATCGTTGAAAAACTTTTTTAAAAGTGAAAGTTTAATTGTTTCAAAAAGTTACGTTATTCTTTGCAAGTTGCGTTTCGTTCGTTCATAAACACTAGCTCTTTTCCGCAACTTCGCTGGCGTAACTTATAGCATGTCACCAGAGTATGATGTAAAGCTCCTCGTTGGTCCCGTTTTTTTTAATCAGTCATGTTACCAATACCAATGCAAATAAACAACATTTCTTCTTTATTATAATATTAGTATAATTTTACCAGGTTTATTAAAAGTAGTCAAAGACTTTGGTCAAAGCTTATGGCGGATTTTATTTGGTTCTCCTTTTTAATTAATGGCGTTGCTATTGTGGATTTCGCCAGAATCCAATGTTTCGCTCAGTTTATTGACATCTATTACTGTCGAGTTTTGATTTTACTCTTTGCTTTACTTACTTACACTTTACTTTTAAATGCAAAGAGAATTACTTCAATGATAATTTAAATAGACAATAGCCTATTGTGTTCTCGGATTAATTTTATCGTTTTCATTTTTTGTCGTAAAACAGTGCAATTGGTTTGTTATATATTTTCTTATCGTAAACTGTAACTGTTAATATTTACTTAGATAAATATTTAATCAAACTAGGCGATTAGGTTGTGCTCGGATTTACGCTGACTCGGTACTTACTTTTTATATACATTCAATAATTCCGAATTTAATATGATAATTTCGTCATGTTATCTACTTACTACCTATCCGGATGTTATGAATGCGTAATCTACATAAAAATATTTTTTTTTACATCAACAGTTAGTGTTTGCTATAATGTTTTGCCCGTAAATCACATGTACAAACTATGTCAAATCTCGCAAAAATCACTAGATACGCCACCCTAGCCGGGCGATGGAAGTTGACGGTGCTGTCTTTTCAGACACACCACGCTAGAAAACACAGGGACAGTGTTGTTATTTACTGTTATTTGCGTGTCCAATAAATTAATCACTCTACACGAGTTTCGCCTATTCACGGAGCCTCTTCAGGAGTTGTTATACATTCTTAGAACTCGGTGGTTGGCATCGGTTGGCAGTTGGCATGGGTACCTACAAAGAAATAACTTCCACATGAGAAGTAAAGAAAAATTAAGAAAACTACTTCATATTTGTAAAGGTTCTGTCAAAGCCAAAACGTGAATTTTCAAAATTTTCTAATAGTCACTTAAAATCACAAAGTTACCTTTCAAATTGCATCCTATTCTTGTTGAATTTTTATAGAGAATATTAAATATGTTTCAGAATAGAATAAAATTAAAAGTGTTTCAATAATGGTCACGTTCCTTATCTATATGTTAGCTGTTTTCCCGCGACTTTGCTAGCGTGTGTTATAGTCTATATCACCCGCGTATGATATAGCTTCCCCATAAGTGAAAGAATCTTCATGATAAGCTTTCTTACTCTCGAACGCTATTGCGACCGATTGACGTTACAATTGTGCCGTTTCATACTATTGATTGGGTACACTAGCGCCAGAGTATACTATTGAACCAATCAAGAGTGCGGAGCGGCACAAATGCAATGTTGATCGGTCGCAATAGCGGTCGTGAGTAAGAGGGCTGATCTATATTGCAGAAGACTACCCCCTACAAATAAACAGTTTGAACCTTGCCTCTTTAAAAGTAGGTATTATTAGTATAGATTTAAATTCAAAAAATGGAGACTAATATTTTGGAACGAAAAGGTTCCGGAAAAAAGTTATTTTGTTGTATTCATAACACGATATCAAGTGTTGTTTTTGTGTTTCTGTATTGCGAGTATTGTAAATGGAAAAGTAATTTCGTCTGTATGTCAG